CGATTCCGCGATGGCTCCCGCTAGCCGGGGATGGAGTCCTGACTCAGCTCGGCTCGGCTCGGCTCGGCCAACCCGACAGAAGAGCGTTGGTTGGCCCACGAATCCGCCAGTTGACGCGATCTCCCACTGGCCTTGCACACGCATCCTGTCCCATGGTTAATTAGGCTCCTTACCCAAGTCCTGTCGGCCGGAATGGGTGGTTGGTGTGAAGGCAAGCACAGAAAGGGGGCAGACGGGCAGGGGAAAGAGGATGGAATGTAGAAAGTCCTGGGAGTTGAAATCTCAATGAGACATACTTACCAGAAATGAATATGCCATGAGGTGGCGGTAGAACTTCTCGTGTGTATAATTTAGTTTTGTTATTACCGAGCCGGCCGGCTTCGGGTAAGTAGGTACAGAATGCGCCAGGTGAGGCGGCAGACGATAAAGAGGGAATGGTATAGTTTCACCATATCGGCTGCAAATTATTGGGCGCAGGATGCAACAGGAAAGCGACTGGAGGAGGTAGAAAAAGGAGTGGTGCAACCCTAATTCGAAAATGCGACTCGGAAATGGAAGAGATGTTGACGCCTCTTCTGGTTGCCGTGACAACCGGTTGCAGTTGCGTCTTCCGTCGGTGGCCGGCATCACTTTAGATGGGCCCAACCAAGCCGCTAAAGTTCACGGTCTATCGAGAAGCGACTGAAACTGCTCCTGAAGAGGAACAGGGAAATTCGTGATGTTTCCAGGTAGAATGACATCAAAACCATGTTTTTTAACTCGATGATTTTTGCGCTGAATTTCGCTGCTTCACGCATAAAATAAAGCTTTTCGATTCAACCATGGTCGACTGTAATCTCCACCTCGCCTCTGTACCCCCCTCGGTATCCTCAGTAGGATTCACATTGATGTCGGGTAAGAATTTAATGGGAAATTAGTTTTTGTGATTGACCTGAGTCAGATCGTGACATAATGTCACATTTATTTTCATTTAGAAGGAAAATAAATTAGTGAATCGGTCTCAACAAACATCAAAAGAAGATTGCTCGGGTATGAAGAACGATGGAATATGCAAAAGCGTCGTCGACGCACAGTCGTGCAAAGTTTTCGTCTTTCATGTGACAGACATTTTCAAG